GCGATTTGTCCGGTCACTAGAAGTGAGCGCGCGTGCTTTGAACGTTCCTAACAGTTCGTGTGCTCTCTCCACAACAAATTAATTGCCACATTTACTTTTAATTTGTTGGGTTCAATGACCTTCACCTAGGCAATCACGCAGTTGCCTTCAACTCTCGGATATTCGAAATAGGAACTTCAGCTTGTTCGAAAACCCCATTGCGCTTCGTATTTTGCTGCCGGGATTCGTCTAGTTGTTTTTGTTCATGACATAAGCGCAATCGTACATATTTTATCAATCAATACTAATTTCTGATCTTTCAGTGCACCTTGAGCTTCAACCAAAGCGAAATGCGGAATTTTCGGTTTGACGAACATTTGGAAACTACTATGGATTTGAGGCTTTGAAAGCATTATGTTCAAGCATTCCTATTTGTAATTCATTCATAATGAGATTAGATAGACCGGACTTCCCAATTTACGTTTAGAAAGGGGAACCCCTTCGACTCAGGGTCAACCCTACGTTGCTACAAGTACCAACGGGGGGTCGTAGTTTGTTGAAGTTTGTGGTAGGGGGGGGGTCGTACTTGTTTCGGTAGCACGAAATTACATGTGATGAGGTGAGCGCGCGGGAGAAAATTTGCCGTTTCAGCGTGCCTCCCCTCCCCGCTCGACGGTGTTTTTTGAGGGAAAAAGAAGTTGTGAAGAGGGGGTCGTATGAAACTTCTCGTGAAGGAGGGGGGTCGTAAAAATTTTGCAAAAAGTACCAACGATAGGACCGACCCTGCTTCGACTAAGTCATAGCTCAAATTGTCCGCGATGGTGTGTGGGGAAGTATGGATGTCCGGATCTCACTGAACATTTCGATAAAAATTGCTTTAAACACCCTTTTTCACTCCTTATGCACTTTGGCCTCGGCCTCTAAAATGAAGAAAAGTCGAAACGTTGAATGAAGAGGGAGGGTCAAGGAAATCCATCACACAGCCACAAAAGCTAGAGCAACTTTCGCTCCCCGCCACAGATGATCTTATTTTTCAGGTTGTGGATC